AGATATATTAAGAGAATATTTTTGGCTCGATTAAGGCTCGAAATACTTTGTAAAATTATTTAAAAGATTAAAACACACTTTTACACTTGAGTAAGGATTGAAATTGACATTTGAAAAACTTGGAGTAATATTTTGATATTCGAATAGTTTAATCGAATATATATTTGAAAATCTTGAAATCTAATAACATTTAATTTGTTATATCGAAACATCAAAATGTTTTCAACAATAGGCTTGAGCAATGAAACCACAAAAAATCGAGAAATCGATTTGAATTGAATTATGCGGTTTGAATTTTTATTTTATGGTTTGTTTTCAATTCATTTTAAAAATATAATTATACAATTTAATTTAGTTTCATTTTTTCTATATAGAAACCGTTTGTTTCAAATTAAATTGAGTTAGAAAAAAGAAAATAAAATAATTATCCAAAACAAACTTATTATGGGAAAAACTTCAATAAATAAAATCTTAAAACTAACAATATTTTTTATGAATTTAAATGGATATATTTACATTCGATTTAAGCTTTAAGTTATTTTTTATGTTGAGTTTTAAAAATAATAAATACTCAAAAATCACAAAATCAAACCAAACTGAATCAAATCAAACCAAATCAAACCGAAAACTACGATTTTATACCGTTCAATTTCAAATTTCGATTTCAATTTTTAAAAATTGAAATATATCAAAATTCTTTACTACAAGAGGAGATGCCCATACGATATTTTACAGTCCACAGCTGGAGGTTAATGTTTTATACATACATAAAAAAAAGGAACCGTACTATCCTAATGCACCCCAAACGTAAAATTTGATGTAGTATATGTAACGGATGACGTAATATTTTATACATACATATTATTTCTACATCTATTTAAAGTTATATTATTTGTCCAAGCCATCGTTTGAATTTAAATATATCAAAATTCTTTTAATTTTAGGTACAATGTATATCGATGAAGTGTTCTCTAATATAAACACTTGAAATAATATCACATGATTAGTGTATAGACTATAGAATTTGTAATGAGTTTAGCTTGTCTTATTTAGTTTTATACAACATATTTAGTTTATTCTTATATTTGTGAATATACATTTTGTTTCAACTACAACTGTTAAAATAAATAGTTAACGTGAAATTGAGTTAAAATTTAAAATCACATTCGACAATTATTAAACTTAAAACTCAAGTTTCCCTTACCAAGAGATGATAAATGAATGAACAAATTCATAGAGTTGGAAGCTATCAAGTGCAAATAATATGTAAACAATGAATAGCTACAAAAATTAGGAACCTTCGTACCACTCCGTAACTCTTCTTTTTCTTGCAAGTTCAATCTAAGGATTTATGACGACTTAATTAAAATGTTTAATTATCTTTCCGATAAAAAAATAACTATTAAATGATAGAAATCATATCTAAATTAATTATAATATTAATTGTACACACGAAATTTTAAAAGGTTTTAAAATTAATTAATTTTAATTATTATATTTGATATATAAATACTGATTTTTTCACAAACATCATAAATCCATCATCACGTATATTTTTTTAAAATTATTTGTTACGACACCATTTTAGAAGAACATAATTTTTTTTATCAAAACGACGTTGTTTTGTATTTATATAAAGACTCATTTATAACATCGTTTAGTGAGAAAACGGCTAAATGATTAAAAAAATTGAATCGATTTAAAGTACAGTGAGTGAAATAAGAAAGTGAATAAAGTTTAGTGATGATTAGTATAATTTACCCATAAAAAAATTCACCATCCGTGCATCAAATAAGTACTACTCTATTTACCCCTTGGATGGTTGAAATCTTGAAGTTTAAGTTAGTTCTATTAGGAAGCTACATTAACATGAAAAATGATTCCCCCTCCCCTTTGATATGGTTAATTGGTTTTGAAACTTGAAATTTAAGTTTGTCCTTTTTTTTTTTTTTTGATAAATCAAAGTTTGTCCTTCTTTCGTTGTCCTTAAAACACTCCATTTTTTTAACCGAAGAACATTTGGTAATTTTATACACATTTTGAATATATAAATTACTATCCTTTAACAAGTGTAACAAATTAATTATGTAGATAGATTTGAATATATCAAAAATTATTTGCCAGGTATACAGAGTCCATTAAATTATTTGCTATAAGTTGGATAGAAGTAACTACCATCCCATTAATTAATAGCTACTAAATGATTTGATTCTAAGTTGAAGTGGTAAGAAGCTTGATATCGCTTAAGCAAGTTCTCGAGTTCGAGTCTTTGTATACGCAAAAAATCTTTGCTGGGAGACTCACCCACCAAAACTAGGTATGCGACGCGGGTCAATCTGGATTAATGAAGGTGAAACCTTGGAATCGAGAGGGAAAAAACCTACTAAAAAGGCTTCAATAAATTAAATTATATGTACAACCTATAAAAGGGATTTCCAATACCACATCAACAATCAGCACAGATGAAAACTATCAGCATGCACCTAAGGGAATGAACCATATTATAGGGTGTTGATATGGAGAGTCTAAATCAATGAATATATCTTAATTCTTATCATAATATATATTAAGTTTGTTTATAGCAATTCAAATAATTTTGTAAATAAACTTTCAAGGTTACAGTTAGGGTCAATTGTAAATGACTACTATTATAATAAACTATGAAGAATTGTTAGACTAATAATCTGGACTAAATAATTTTGTAAAAAAGCTCAGACAGAGTAGAACAACTGGAAACCTATAAAATTCCATGTTTTCCTCATTTTAGTTACGCTAATATTAGCTTTTTCTATTTTGAACATTAGATTATCTTATAGTATATATAAATTTCGAAGTCGGAACAGTTGGTTCGCGTGGCCTAATGGATAAGGGGCTCGCCTCCGGAGCGGGAGACTGTGGGTTCGAGTCCCGTCGTGAACGATTTCTGCGTTACAGAAGCACGACAGCTTATCTTCTTAGAGACATATTTTCGTTTTCCTCTTATTGCTGGGCGTAATAATTTGAGTATATTCATTATAATGATATTTTGTGTGTGGAAAATCTAACCTAAACCGATCAAATATAATAAAAAATAAAAAACCAATTCCAGTTTTTTTATAAATAATTCAATTATTATTATTATTTCTTAAATAAACTCACTCTACGAACACCTAGCATATAATACTATTTGAATCTATATCATCTAGATAAAATATATTATCTTTATCACAAGAATCTCTCTTTAAATTCTAAAAAAATATTTCCCTTAATTTAAGTGCCAAAGACACTTGTATCCTAAAAAACCTTACATTTGAAAATCAAACAATGAATTTAGATTTAAATTCAAAACTTGTAAATTTTTTATCCCCTTAGTTTAATCTACCATAGTAAAAAATACTTAGGGGTGTTTGGATCAAGGAATGTGAGATTCCATGGGAATGAAATCCACATTTCCATGTTCGGTTGGCTGGAAATCTCATTCCCGGTAATGTTTTATTATCAATAGTATATTTTTTTGGGGTATATTACCGGGAATGTCATTACTCCCTTTCCTTAGGTATTGTTGGATTACCGGCATTTTGGACTAAAATACCCTTAAATTATTTTTTTTTTCAAAAATATCATTCTTCTGTCATTGAATAATAAAAATTCTACGAATATTAAATTACAAATTTATCCTTAAACTATTTTAGATTTACAAAAAAAATCTATAATTAAAATTTTATATGAAGTTCAGGCGTTAAAATAAAATTTTATCATTTCATTAAACCTTTTTATATTTTCAATTTTGTAAAAATATATATATAAATTTTATGAATTTAAATTTTTTAAAGAAAATATATAAATATTTTTTAACTTATTAAAAAAACAAATATATAATAAGGACAATTTAGTCAAATATACATTCAAATAATCTTTTATTCTTTTAACCAAACACGATAATCTTACATTCCTGCTAAACCAACCAAACACAAAATACAACATTCTCAGTAATCATATTCCCACTGGTAATCTTACATTCCCACTGGTAATCTTACATTCCCACTGGTAATCTTACATTCCCACTGGTAATCTTACATTCCCACTGATAATCTTACATTCCGTGAACCAAACGCACCCTTAGCTCAACCGTCAATTGATATTGAATTGGTTGGAAAAAGATTCTGTAACATATTTCCACCGTGAGAAGTAACTCGTCTTCCAGTGAGACGTTTTTAGCATCTTATTCAAACAACCTTGTTTCATATTAAAAGGGTAAATTACAAACTTGGTAATTGAACTTTAATCTCTTTCTTAATTTACTCACCATATTTTAAATCTTTTCAATTTCTTCGTTGAATTTAATACATTGATTTTTTTGTCGCTCGGTCATTAAATAGTTAACAACGTTAAAATGGACAGTTATATATATGCAAAACGACATTGTTTTGATGGAATTTTTCCTCAAAAAGGCATCATTTTTAACGCCATTAATTATTTAACACAAAGTGATCAAAATATGAGAGAGTAAAATTCAATGATAAAAAAACTAAATATATTAAGTACAATGAGAAAATTGAAAACTTTTAAATTTCATTGAGCAAAATAAGAGAGTAAAAGTTTAGTAATGAAATTCGTAATTTACCCATATTAAAAAGATAAAATATATCATGTTGAGTCGAACTAATCTGAATATCGAGGGGAAAAAATGGCCCTACCGGAATGGATAAATAATATGGTCTTGAATTAATCTAATACATGCTTTGGGTTATTGTAGTTTAGAAGAAAAATATAGATCATAAATATCTTTTTACGGAGCTTGGTTCGAGATTCTCTAAAATAATACATTGAGAGGTATATTCTTATGTAAAAAGTGCTAACAATTATGTCTAGAAAAGGAACCCAAAAATACGAGCTTGTTATCTCCACGACATGAATTCATAGCAGAACCCGCAAGACCTTAATAAATTCATAGCAGCAACTACTAGGTGTACAAGGAGGCAGAAATAAATTATTTGCATTACTTCCTAACGATTTCTTCCTTCCATTTCTTTCTTTTACCGTTTGAGCGTATTAGTCGGAAATCACAAGGACCTCGAAGTTCTCTTCAATGCAATTCTGGTTCATGACATAATTCTGTTCCGGCTTGCCACCACGCAGATGTCGCTCTCATACCTTTGTACCAAGGAATGACTGAAATGACATCGAAAACAGATTGGGAGTTGGCCACATTTAATGAGTGAAGTAAAATGAGAACGGAAGCTACAATGTGAGATCCATGGGAGATGATAAAAACACCGGCAAATAAAAAGAATTAACTTATAGCCACAAGTGCATATATTCCTTTAGTTAAATAGTCGAAGAAGATATAATCGTAGCATTTACCTTGACTCCTGCAGGAGAGTTTCCAGGCTTAGCTGTTGTTGTGCTCCCAAAGACACTGGAAGAAGGGTTCCCTGGCCTAGCTGTGGTCGTGCTCCCAAAGTTGAACCTGGGCTTTTTATCAGCAGGCTTCAATATTTGAAAGGAGCACATCAAAGTCTCATCCACACTCATCATGGCCCCAGCATTATCGAACTCTCCACAATAATTAGGTGCTGAAAATATAGTTACAAGCTGTCGGTCGGCAAAGAACTCATACCCATCTTCCACAACCTGTAAAAAATATATCAGAAAAATCTTATTTAAGAGAAAAAGTAGTTAAGCTGATGATCATGTCCTCTGTGATTAGTAATGAGGAATATGTAGACAGTTGCCTGCACATAGTAGTGACATTCGAAGGCAATGTCAAAGGTTCAACAACTCTTGTAAAGGGATACAGTAATTGCACAAGAGTGTATGGTTTCTGGATAATATCCTAAACCAAATGAGTTATGCATTCTTCTCGAACTAGATTAACAGCAGAAGATATTAACTCCTAATACAAGCGAAGCATAATGCAAGCTATTAAAGCAAGTAAAACCTGGTGGGCACGGCAAATGAGATCTAGGTCATGCTTCTGTAAAAACTCCGACACTTTATCAGGACCAAAAGTAAATGAAACACCTCTGTCGTTCATTCCCCAGCCTTGAACATCTTTACGGGGATCAGACCATAGAAGATCGCAGAGCAAACCGGTGTCCGGAACATCAGTCGGACATTGTAAATTTCTAATCTCATCCAAATTATTCAGATCGGGAGAAAGGCCTCCATGCATGCACAGAATCTTCTCATCAATTAGTGCTGCCACTGGAAGGCAGTTAAAACATTCAGTGAATGTCTTCCATACCCTAACATTAAATCTTCTCTTACACTCATCAAAGAACCCATATATGCGGTTTATAGAAGCACATTCATGGTTACCCCTCAATAGGAAAAAATTATCGGGGTGTTTTATCTTGTAGGCAAGAAGAAGACATATTGTCTCCAGACTTTGCTTGCCTCGATCAACATAGTCCCCCAAAAATAAGTAGTTGGCATTTGGAGGCAACCCACCATACTCAAAAAGCCTTAAAAGATCAGAATATTGACCATGAATATCACCTGAATGTCGTAAACAAATTTCAGACAGGAAAGAAGGTCATAAGTTATCTATGCATCAAATTTGTAAAGTAAACATGCGGCATAACATTCTAGACTTCATGCTAGAGCTCTTCAAAGCAACAGAAATTTCAAACTGGAACCCTTGCAGGTTGTTCAGCTAAACTGTAAATTTCAGTACACAACACATGTGAGACAACACTAGGTCATAAAGAAAACACTCACGCAAATTCTCCAAAAGATTCAGAATACGACAAACAGTTCAGAATTTCTGGAAGGAAAAAACGATCATACAATCAAGACACTCGAAGTCCAATTCCCCCACCACAGCAAAAGGGGAAATGAGGACAATCAAATAGAAAATTGAAGAGATGGGAGATTGGAAATAACTAGCATGGCACATGTAATTAAAGAAACAAGACTAATGGAAACCCTGACTAGATCAACATCCAATGACGTGAGACTCACCGAAAGAAAAATTTAACCAACTAAAGTCATAGGATGAACAAAAGGAGCTGGTTTTCAGGGAAAAGAAAAATGCATGTGTAGGTACAAAATAAAATACAGTGAGGCATGCTGACCAATTCGAAAAACCACCGCGAAATCCAAAGCACGAGCCAGCATTATTTTGAGTGGGTCACTTTGATCAACACTTATTCATTCAATGCAATAAAACTTGCGAGGTTGACGATAACCATAATAACATTTCTGCTAACTTGTTAAAACTTAAAAGATGGAAAGAACCTTCTCCAACTTTAAGAAATAGAAAACACAGAAACCAGATCATTCGTCTGAACAAAAACGCAGTCATCAACAAACCAACAAGCAAAAGCATCACTCGATGAATTCATTACAAGTGTCCATGGCTTTAACTAATAACCGAAAACCATCCAACATACATGTAAACCACACTTACCTAATAAATGAATAAAAAATAATAAAATAAACTGCATATCCTGGAAGGTAAATTAAACATCATAATAAATCGTAATCAAACTATAAATAAGAAGTTCAATTCCCAAAAATAAATCTTAAATTCACAAAATTAACTTTCACATCATCGAAATAGATCATAAAAAAAGTAAGCATTGGGTAATAAAAAAAAGAAAAGAGAAAATACCACAGATTTTGATGGGTGCTTCAAGTTCCAACAAATTAGGCTGCTGTAAGAAAATCTCCTTAGAAACAACACAGAGCTGTCGAATCTCTGATTCAGATAGCTGAACTTGTTTCCCCGGTCGACCCCTGACTTCCAAAAGCCGGTTTATAATATCATCAAGTAACCCTTGCTCCATTTTCTTAACCCCTCTGTTTCTCTATCTCTTATCTCTCTTTTTAAACAAAGAAGGGTCTCCGAGATTGACACAAAATTTTAAAAAAGAAAGAAAAGTCAACGACTTTTTTTTCTTCTTTTCTAAGGGATGCGAAGGAGAAAGAGAGACGAAGAAGAGCATGCCGTCGGCGAAAGGCAAAAAGATAAAAATGATAAATTACGTGTTTAGTACTTAAATGATCAGTTTTGATCCGATTTAGTATTTAAACTTTCAATTGTTTTTAAAATCATACCAATATTTAGTTTTTGTTTTATTTTAGTACACTGTTCAAAATTTAACGTTAAAATTTAAAATATTAAAAATTTAGGTAATAAAACAGATCAAAATTGATAAATTAGGTATTAAACATGTTAAGTTTTTAACGTTAGGTACTAAAATGAAATAAAAACTAAAAATTAATTATGATTTTGAAAAAATTAAAAATTTAGGTGACAAAATTAGCCTGATAATCCTGGCGCAATAATTATTTAGGTTTTTAGAGCAACTTAAAAATTAATTAGCAATCTACGACATTTACTACAATGACTTGGAACTCGTCACGTGAGTATAACAAGTTCTAAAAAAAAATATTTTGCCTTGATGCGATAGATTCTAATAGAAAATTATATTTTTTTAGAACTCGTCATGTCACATGATGAGTTCAAAAGTGATGAGTTTGAATAAAAATATTTTTTTGAACTCATCACCTTCGTATAACGAGTTCGTCCTTCACTGTAATAAATGTCGTAAATCCTAAAATAAACTTTGAGCAACCTTATTGGACTAAATAATTTATCCGTATGGATTATTGCCCTCATTTTATCAATTTAGGTACTAAAGCATACCAAAATTCAATAGTTTAAATATTAAATGGTTAGTTTACCTAAAAAAATGTAATGGGTGAGAAAAAATGTCCATCTTAATTGGACGTGTAATATCACGTGTGGAATACAGTAAACAACACTCTAGTTTCTTCTTCAACCTATTGCCGAAACCCGGATTTCGCCGGCGTTTCTTACCAACCAAACGGTGGTACAGAAGAAAATACAAATGAAATGAGAAAAGGAGGGCCAAGAAAGGAGGGGAACTACACAAATCCATGTTTAACGATGCATCAGCCATGGGCTTCATTGTTAGTTTATGGGATCAAACGTATTGAAGGCAGGTCTTGGCCTGCTCCAATAAGAGGTAGCCGCTCCCTTATTTTTTTAATAAAGCTTTCAAATTGATGAATGAAACCAAATGTCGAAATATTAGATTATTTAAGAAAAATATAAAGATTTATTATGTATTTAAATTTAAAATTTAGTATGAAACAAGCGGTCTTAGTGATTAAGGGATTGTTGTTATTCTTAGGTCCCGAGTTCAAGCACGTATGTAGGGTATGAGCGTTAATTATCAAATAGTTGAAACTCTTTGTACAAATATTACCTTGTATTCACCCTAAATTAAAAAAAAAAACTCAAAACTTAAAAGACAACTTCTAATTTGTCTAATATTTAAACTTTTAATGACTTAAATTATAATTAAACCAAAAATTTGAGAACACATACTTATCATTCTTTAGTTCGATCCTTACTTGATTAAATATTTAATAAATTTTTATATTTTTATATTTTTTAAATTTAAATATTTATTTTATATAATTTTTTTTATTAAACTAAAATTATACAAATATATAAATTTTAACATGGGCCGAAGCCCTTGGGCCCTAAGGAGCTCCGTCACTGGTTATATTTAATGGGATTATCTTTTTTTTCGAGAAAATAACTAAAATATGTTTGGAATTTTGTGGTAAAGCGCCAAACTTATGCTTTTGGTGGCTATATTTTCTCCAAGTAGGTTGTTGTAGGATTTAAAGTCGTGGGGTTGATTGATATAGTCTTTACTCAATAATGAAGAAAATGGAGCTGCCTCTTAAGTGATATTATATTTTTGTTCCAGGCCGCCTTTAGATACGTGCTGCCAGTAAAGTTCCTGATGAATCTATAATCAAAGCAATGGAGGATTTCTATCGGGAAATTTATGCAGCGAATGGAATTACCGATAATAAATTTCCAGAACATTACCCTGTCTTGAGAATGCTAGGTAAGTCCTTTTTATGCTCATTTGATCTCTTTTGATATTCCCGTTGCTTTATTGCTTATTTTCACTTTCTTTTTGCATATGAATACATCACAAATTGATAAAATGATTTTAGGGGTTCAGTTTCTAAAATGTGGAAAGCTTACCTGAATTCTCAATGGCCAATCTAATCTAGATTCATTGTTCTTTGGCATAGGGTGTGTCGAAGTGGTTGGCTGTTTGACATGCAAAGAGTTAGTTCGATGGGAGGCGCTGCCTGAACGGGTGGGTGACTAAGCTTTTCTCACTCTTATATTTTTCGGCATGATATGCAACAATTCCGATCCGCTGGTTTTTGTTCCTTCTCATTTTTCTTCTTCATGCTCCCAGGTTAGGCTAGCTTGAAGGACAAACTGATTTTTGCTGGCTTTGTGAACAGCCAAAGGTTTTACTTTCATTCTGGATAGTTGCTATTCTATTTGTTTGTTAATCCGTTTCTCTCCAGTTAGATTTTATATTGTGATTTATTTTCTTTTCAATTTTTTGTTGCAGAAATTGTTAGTCCCATTCAAGATGCGAGGCTTCACGTGTTTATAATCTGGAAAAGAAGGTAACACCGTGCAAAAAGTTATGCTTATGCAGCTTGTAGACATTAATTTTTTCATCATATTATTATTATTATTATATTATTATTAATATTATTAAATAAAAAAAGTACAGATCCGACCCATTTACACCGGAGCCCAGTTCTGGCCCAACAGATGACCCAAACCCTTTAGGGTTTGTAACATTTCAGCTAGGGTTTTCTAACCCTAGCCCAGCCGTCAATGATCCAGAACCCTCCACGCCGCCGCCGCACTTGCTGCCAAGTGCTCCAACCAGCTATTGCCGACGCCTACTGCCACGACTCCACCCTAGCCGAGGACTCCATAAGCTCTGCTGCCATGACAACGTCCGTCCACGTTGAAGCTATTATGGTGAGTCACCACATAGTTCGGTGACTCACCGAAATCCACTCTTAGGATCGGTTCAAGGCGAGCCTCGGTGGTGGCTTTAAAGCCATCGAACCTGCAAGAACAACGAAAAAGACGAGAGCAACGGAGAACAGAGAGCAATTAAGAGAGCAAGGACAGAGAGCAACCCAAAAAAAAAAACACAGCAACAAGAGAAACCAACACAGCAAATAGAAAAGAAAGAGAGAAGAAACGGAGAAGAAACTTACCACCGAGGAGCCTCCACGAGCCACCGGAGAACCAAAACGTCGAAGGAAACTATACTAGATCTACGACGTTTGGTAAGCTTTTAGGTTAAAACAACTTTAAATCGGGCTTTAGGGTAAACAAAGATTTGATTTGGGAGTATTTTGTAATTTCCGACCACCATTCACGGTGCCCGATGGTGGTGACGGGCACCAGAACACGGCTGCCGGTCGGATGTCAAATTCCCTCCGGTGGAGTTTTTAGAGAGAAGACAGAGAGTTTCTCTCTGTTAGAGAGAGAATAAAAAAAATAAAATGAAGAAATTTGGTCTAAAAAGCCGGTTAAATGGTATTTATACCCTCACCAAAACGACGTAGTTTTGGTGAGGGGCATCTGTGTAATTTGAGAATGAGCAAACCATGTGCGCAGTCCCTTTGACTTTATAAAATTTTATTTTGGTCACCCGAATGAGTTTTTACATATATTAATTGTGTAATTGAATTTTATTTAGTTATAATTTAGCCATTAGCTTTATTTATATAATATTTTAGGTTAAATACCTTATTTAGTCCCTCATAATTTAATTAATATTTATTTTAGTCCCATATTAATATTTAGGCTAAATTACACTGTAGGCCTCTATATCTTATGATATTTTGAAGTAGAGCACTAAGTTTAAATATTATACATTTTGATACTATATTTTTAATTTCTTTTATTTTAACCATTATTTATTTGCAATATTATTATTACTTTTGATATATTTTAATTATTACTTTCATTATTATTTTATTATTATTTTTATCTTAGTCATATAAATATATATATACATATTTGTTTAAATAATAATATTTATTTATTTTTAATATCAAAGAAAAGGGCAGTCTTAAAGTAACTAGATGTTCTATTATAGTATTTTAAAAATAAATAAATATCCTACTTATAGAAACTAGAAAATACATATTGTTTTATTTAAATTATTTTCTTAGAAAAAATTATTATTTTTAATATTCATTTATTTTTTAATATTAAGAAATGGGTTGTCTTAAAGCACCTAGAAATTCTTTTCTGATATTCTTAAATAAATAAATATCCTATTTTTATAAATTATATATAGTAATTTATTTTAATTATTTTTAGAGAAATGTCTTATTAATATTTATTTATTTTTTAATATTAAAAAATGAGCTGTATTAAAGCACCTAGAAGTCCTTTTTATGGTATTTCTAAGTAAATAAATATCTTATTTATAAAAATAAATGGCTGTCCCTTGTTCCCATATGTAATGGGGTAAGGGGGAGGTAAGATAGTAGGTTGCCCCTAACACTAGATTGAGAGTAGCTTCCGTAGGAGACCTCCGAATTAAATTAAATATATTTTTGAATTTTTAAATTTCCAATAATAGAAACAATTTATAATTAATGAGTACCAATTTTGGGCGTTGTGGGGGTGCTAATCCTTCCCCAAACATAATCGACCACGAATCCCTTTTTATTATTAAAAAGAACGAATTTTTGGTTAAAACGCAGACTAGTTTATCTTTTAACTGATGTTTTCTTAAAAACTCTTTTAAAAGATAATTTTTAGGTATCCGACCTACCTGACCCAAAAGGCCGACGGCGACTCCCAAAACATTTTAAAACCATTTATTCTCATCACTTTTCCCGTCAAGTAAAAATTCGTGCCCGGGCGAAAACTGGTTACGACAGCTTGGCGACTCTGCTGGGGACCGATCAAGCTTTGAAATTAATTATAAATTGTCTCTATCAATTAGAAATTAAAAATTCATATTTATTTAATTTATAATTCTTTTCTTTCAAAATTTTTATTACTTATAATATTTATTATATATATTTTATTATTATTATTAATGTTTTTATTTTATTTTTAGATAT